GTGGAACACCCTTCCCAATTACTGTTTCCCTGAGAGCTATAATCTCCAACTATTCAAATGTAATGTCAATCGACATCTCCAGTTACCTTGATCTATCCACTATCCCTCTCCTCATCCTTTCTTCTATCACTCCTATCTGCTCTTGCTCCAAATCTTCTGCAACCCCCTGCATCCTAGTGGCTTCACGCCTTGCTCGGGGCGTAATGCTTAAAAAAACAAACAAACAAACAAAAAACCAAAAAAAAAACAACTTTGGTTTAGTCCTTTCTTCTCACTTTCTTTTACTACCTTTGGTAGAAGTACTTATAGTTTCCTTTCTGTGTTTGCTATCATCATGTTGTCATCTGCATATCTCATGTTGTTATGAGTGTGTTCGCCAATAATGAATCCTGGCAAGACTTCTAATTTTCTGATTTTGTGTACGTTAGTGGAGTAATTTCTTGCCGTTTCCATGGAATTCAGTTTTCATTCTTTTAGACTGGTTACCAACCAAGGCAAGAAAGCACAATCTATTCTGTTATTTTTCAACCCACTGCTAGGATGGATGTGAAGAAATGGATTCATGCCCTTTTGATGCAAAAATGAATTTTATTTTTTAAAGCATTTCACCCCAACCAAGGCAGGATGCCACTAGCACACAAGGAGTCACAGAGAATGGAAGCGAGAGTATAGAGGCGTGATAGAGGAAAGGATGAAGAGAAGGACACGGAATAGATCAAGGCATCTGGAGATGTCGATTGACATTACATTTGAATAGTTGGAGATTGTAACTATCAGGGAAACAAGTATTAAGAAGGGAATTCCACAGACGGGAGGTGCGAGACATGGAGCCATTGGAGTAGAAGAGAATTAACTATTCAACAGTGAAGGGGTGGGACCGAGATGCCAGTCTAGTTGCACGTTTAAATTCATGCAGTCTGGGAACTAGCGAAAGTAGCTCGTCGGAGCAGTTACCATGAAAGTATTTGTAGAAAAGGGCGACGGTACGTCTGTGACAAAGCGACTGTAGACGAAATGCCAGATCAGGGTCAATCCCATTGCATATCCGTATCTGGGTTTTGTCGAGGACCTTAAGACGAACAGCGGGGGCACCAGACCATATATGGTAGCAGTATACCATGCAAAGGCGAATGGTTGATTTATAGATTTGAAGGATGGACTCTGGAGAGAAAAACTTTCTGGCGCGACACAGGGAACCAACTTTCCTTGCAATGGATGAAGCTGTTGATTCAATGCATTTGTTCCATCTCAGGTCAGCGGACAGTATGAGACCAAGCAGTCGAAAAGATGTGCTCTCGTGGAGTTGAGCATCAGACATTCTAATGGGAGGCAGGGATGAATGCACCCCCCCAAAAAATGAATATACCAAAAATTGAATGCAAAAAAAATAACTAAATAAAATAATGAATGCAGCAACAAAAAAAAAAATGAATATAACAAAAAAAAAAAAAAAAATGAATATAACAAAAAAAAAAAAAATGAATATAAAAAAAAAAAAAAAAAAAAAAAAAAAAAACGAATTTAACAGGCTGAGATTTGAACCCGGTTCACCTATTCCACTTTCTTTCTTATCCTTGTTCTATTTTTCTAGGCAGGTGCCCAACAACTACGTACAGATTTACGTAAGTAGGTATTGTCATTCATTTCATTATTTTATTTTTCCCCACCTTGAAACAATTCTTTTGTTTCTGGTTTTGACACCTGTTTTACCTATCATCATCATCAGGTTTCTTTTCGTTCACTTGGCGCCTAACACATCTTCTGATTATCCTCAATAGGTAATTACACATGTTTACCAGATAATTAAAAGCTACAAAATTAACTTCCAAGCGCATCTACATGTTTTAATGCACAAAAATCAGACTCCATCGCTCGGTAGGCGGAGATAAGGGTGGAGCAAGCAAAGTGAACTTGAAAACAAGCGACATCTTGGAAAGAACGTTCCCACCGACGCTGGCGTTCCCTGAATGGCTGTCATTGAATTTGAAGAATCACTCGGTGCAGAGTTACTGACAAATCGAAAGTATGACGAACTGCCTACCATTATGCTTGCTTCAGTAGAAATTAAACTATATTTTATTAGGTACGCTCAAATGAACAAAACACAATTCACGCTTATTGACATCCCTTAAAAAAGTATTAAAATTGATCCTTAAGTGTTAACTTGTTTCTGTTTCAAAGACAATAAACAGAAACTCAGGTGTTTGGCAAATTGTGTTTCATATTACTATAGATTAAGGACTTCAGATCATGAATAATAAACGTTAATAGAGGGTTCATTTTGCTATGTAAATTGACCTCCCATGCACACACCTATAGATGTCAAAACAAATATATCTGACGAGCAGTCCTGGGTATGATGATAAATTACATCCGGCAGTAAGGCCTCTGATCGAACGATTGGAGATTTTGAGGACTATTCACCAATAATGAATCCTGGCAGGACTTCTAATTTTCTGGTTTTGTGTACGTTAGTGGAGTAATTTCTTGCAGTTTCCATGGAATTTTAATTGCTGTTGTTCCCCTACTCCACCCTCACACGGGGTGGTTGTACCTGTTAAGGTCCCATCTATGGATAAATAGTGAAACCCCAGACAAAACACTATGAAAGTATAAAAATACATTTTATAGTAAACATTCCAGCAATACATTATGCAAAAAAAAAAAAATGGCCACAATACATTTTTTAAATCAACATGACTAGCAATACATTTTTATCTATAATTCAAGGCATACAATTGTATTCAAAATATATTTAGTTGAGGCTATAAAATTGTTCAAAATATTTACATTTCGGCATTGAATGACCCATAGAGGTGTTATCTTGCTGAACAAAATCCACTATCCAACGAACATGAAAGAAACTGCCACACGTACATAAGAGACTGTCATGCAAAGATTGAACTGTTAAGACACAAAAGGACTGGATTTTGACCTAACAGCGCGCTACGGTAGGAATTCTCCTACTCGGGTTTTTTGTTAAATGTCAAAATTCACAGTGTCAGGATTCGATACAATAAAATATTGTTGCGGGACTGCTAGTAATTCGTTAGTTTGGAATAATCCCACAATTTTCATTGAAAAAAATAAAACGCAGTAGAAAAACAAAATACTATCAACAAATAAACAATTTAATATAACAAGACTACAATAAGTTGGTTATATATTTGAAAGTAATGTTTTTGTTTTGGTTAAAATTATGGAATATAATATAAATTGTATTTGTGTACGTATGTGAGAAATAGTGAAATGCTAGTATATGTGTGTTTGTGTGAAAGAGTCAGTACGTGTGCGCGTGCTTAGTTTTAACGGGGGTTGCAAGATATAGAATTTAGTTCTTACTTTGAACTTTGTTGTCGTAGTTTGCAGCGGTCTCTTTCTAGTATGTCAGCGTAGTAGCTTTTGCGTGTGGACGAGAATGGGGTCTTGAAGATAAGCAGCTAGAGTGACGTGGACCTTGGTGACATCTGTGCGTTTCCTGTTTGGAGTCGGATTTCGTGAGTTTTATACATTTTTTCGTAAGAACACTGGCTCCAGAATTATATTTATTTCTTCCTTCCTAATTGGCTCTAAAAAGCTACGTTGTATATCTTCTACGTCCGCAAGATATTTTGGCAGTATCTACATATATCATGATGAAATATTTTATTAAATATTTTAGTGGACACTAACATTATCCCGATAGATAAATGGATGCTTGCTACTACGATATTTTTGGCAATGACATCATTCAACACAGTTTTTGCATTTTTTTGTAATTTGAGTAAGAAAAACAAACCTATCATTAAGAATCTAACTCGGAGTTTTAATTAGAGAGTCGAAGAAGAGATAAAGAAACTTGAAGGTGACAGAGATGCAGTTATATCAATGATTGCTGATTATTGATGGCCAGAGCATGTGAGCGACGAAAAAAGTTTCAGAAAAGATCAAAACTAAAAAAAACCCAAAAACGAACAAACAGCTGGTAACAATCAGAAAGACTAATTAATCCATAGTTGGGGGGGAAGAAGACGTGGATTCATACATTTCCTAAGGGTATTTGCGCGTAAGTGAATACAAAGAACCCAACTGGAATTGGACCTCGGCTAGGTGGAGATGAAGTGGGTCAATTTCTATAAACCTAGAAATTATATAGCAAATAGATCAGATAAAAGGAGAGGTTGTAAAGAGTCAAACATTGCTTAGAGGTAGAAGTTGGGGAGAGTCATATTCGTCTACGTCCTGTAAGGACATGGCAGATAGAAGAAAAGGAAAGTTGTGCAGAGAAAAATGCCAGCTTTATCCAGACTATGGTATTGAATTTTGAATGATCGATTCGTTTTTACGGATTATCAACCCATTTGCAGGTTATTTTAAAGCCAGAAGATATTTTAGACTGTAAGAATTTTGCTGAGGGAGATAATAATAGTTTAGTGATACAAGTCTTACTAATTAACCCGTAGTTGGAGGTCAGAGAGGTGGTTTCATAACTTTCCTCAGTGGTATTTGCGCGTAAATGAATATACGCACAACGGGAATTGGAACACGGGTAGTGGAAGATGAAGTGGATTCATACATAATCAATTTTTATAAAAAAAAACAAAAACAAAAAAAAAAACAGAAATTATGAGGACATAAAGTGGGGTATCAGTTCTATATTAAATCAAAATATAAACTGATCCCTCACTTTTTTTTCTGTAGTTTCTATACATTTATATTCCAGATGATGTAAATAAATCTAAAATACATGCCTTTAAAGTTAATCAGTATTTCCTTGATTTATTCGGTTTTATCAACTTAATAACCCTTTTCAGGTTATTTGAAGCCAGAAAATATTTTTAGATCGTAAGAATTTTGGTGGGGGGGGGGTCATTATAGTTTAGTGATACAAGTCTTACTAATTAACCCATAGTTAGGGGAGAAGAAATGAATTCAGACATTTCTCAAGGGTATTTGCACGTAAGTGATTATAACCAACCCAATGGTAATTAGCTCTCCGATTAACAATTCCGAGTCGTTATCAGCAGCTGGTATTTCCAAGCGGACGCCCATCTAGGTATTGGCCAGGTCCGACGTTGCTTAACTTCGGTGAGCGTACGGGAAGCAGTGTTTCAACGTGAGGTGGCCGTAAGCCTGGCTTTATGAATAACGAGAAAGTTTTCAGGAATTATGGAAACAAGAAGAACACTTACATTTAGAATCAGAAAGAGAGATTTGACATTTATAGGACACAATGAGGAAAGAGGGATTGAGAATTTGACACTCGCAAGACAAGCGAAACAGATGGAAACACCAAATAACCTCCCTAATGAGCTTGTGTAAATAGATGACAGAACTGAGACTTGGTGGATAGTAAGGTGGCAATCATTGCTTAAAGCTATAAATGATAGGAAGTTAGGGAGAGTCATGACTACCCACGTCCTGAAGGGACACGGCAAATTAAATAAGAATGAAAGGCTTTTTTTCACATGAATTCGGATCTTACGGAATACTAAGACTCCCTTTAAAATATATCAAATATGTGACCGTAGCATTGTTATAAAACGTTTTTTTTAGGGGTTGGGTCGATTTACAATGAATTTATATAGCTAACAGAGAGGACCCATAAAATCGTGAAGTACCCAACAGAAATAGATTTTTTGTACATATAAGTGTATATATTGGATATTATTATTATTATTATTATTATGATTATTATTATCATCATCTCAATTTGACATTAAAATTTGAATTAAAAGTTCCTTGAATTTTCAATTTGTTTATAGGAATGGGATTTTGTCCATTTTGGGATAAGAGGCAGAGTTTTTGTCTTGGATTCATAAAAGTGAATACTGGACAATTACGTCACCGACGAAAAGGAGGCTTGACGTGACAGAGATGTGTTTCTACAGAAGGATTTGCTGAGAATATAATTGGTATAACACGTGAGCAAGAAACAAAGTAAAATATTGATGACACATGCGAGAAAGCCTAGAGAATTTAACACTCACAGGATGTACTGAAGCAAAAATAAGCGAGGAAAAAAGTGTGTAACCGATTTAACGAGTTTGAGTGAAACAGATGACAGAACATGGACAATGGTAAAAAAAAAAAAAAAATTACGTAGAGCCACAAAAGACAAAAAGTTAAATAAAAAATAAAAACGTGTAAAATAGGTAAATTAAATATTTTTCCTAACCCCGTCCCTAAAAAAAAAAAAAATCTTTTTTAGCAGCCGATCATTTTTTAATGACACATTTGCAATATTCTTCTCATATTGAAGCCTTCCATATTCTCTCGTAAATACCAACATTCTCTTTTATCATAAAACATTCCCCTGTTATTTATTCCAGTAAGAAGCGGGGAAGGATATTGAACTTCTTAGGTGTTTAATAATACTGGAAAATTAAATGGAAGGAACTTTTACGGGATGATCATTACCAAGTCATTTGCGTCAATGATTTCATTATTCACTTCAAAGCAGTTCGCCTTTTTCTACTCCCCCACCCAAACCGAAAGAACCAGCCAGTCAGCTTATTTTATAGACCTTCCATTACCGAGAGGCCTTGCTGCCATTCTACTGGGGAAGGCGCTATATTTACTGGCGGGGGTTAAATGTCAAGTTACATCTGTTGAATGAGGATCGATTTTAGTCTAAATGAGTTCTTCCCAAACCAGTGGTCGCGAACTTATTGAAGGACTTGTGAAAGGTTAACTTCTGACAATGTCCGCTATATTTTGTTCAGGCGTATATTGGACTTGAAAGAAAATGCACAGAGTGTTGACAAATACAAAATAAATCTTTATATAAAAGAATATAATACAGGCAAAATAAAATAAAAATTGAAGTTTCAAAAGTTCAAGTGTAAAATTCCTAGAGCGTGTGAGTGAGTGAGTGACAGAGCGCGCGAGAGAGAGAGAGAGAGCGAGAGAGAGAGAGAGAGCGAGAGAGCGAGAGAGAGCGAGAGAGAGAGAGCGAGAGAGAGAGCGAGAGAGAGCGCGCGAGAGAGCGAGAGCGCGCGAGAGAGCGCGCGAGAGAGCGCGCGCGAGGGAGAGAGAGAGCGAGAGAGAGAGCGCGCGAGCGAGAGAGAGAGAGCGAGAGAGAGAGCGGAGCGAGAGAGAGAGAGAGAGAGCGAGTGAGAGAGAGAGAGCGAGAGAGAAAGAGAGAGAGCGCGCGAGGAGGAGAGAGAGGCGCGAGGAGAGAGAGAGCGCGCGAGAGAGAGAGAGCGAGAGAGAGAGAGAGAGCGCGAGAGGAGAGAGCGAGGCGAGAGAGCGAGCGGGAGAGAGCGAGCGAGAGAGCGAGAGCGTGTGAGAGCGTGAGAGAGCGCATGTGAGCAAGTGTGAGAGAGCGCACGAGCGCAGGAGAGAGAGAGCGCACGTGAGCGTATGAGAGAGAGAGAGCGCACGTGAGCGCGCAGGGAGAGAGAGGGCGCACGTGAGCGCATGGGGAGAGAGAGAGCGCATGAGGGAGAGAGAGCGCACGTGAGCGCATGGGGAGAGAGAGCGCACGTGAGCGCATGAGAGAGAGAGAGCGCACGTGAGCGCATGAGAGAGAGAGAGCGCACGTGAGCGCATGAGAGAGAGAGAGCGCACGTGAGCGCATGAGAGAGGCGCACGTGAGCGGAGAGAGAGCGCACGTGAGCGCATGAGAGAGAGAGAGGCGCACGAGCGCATGAGAGAGAGAGAGCACGTGAGCGCGTGAGAGAGAGCTCCTGAGAGAGAGAGTAACAGCCCGGGAAGAAGTAAATATGGATGTATGTATGTATCCAAATTTAGTAGTCGTCTGCTTAACAATCTAGCTGAAGGAAGGTTATGTATGTTTTCAAATCTATCATCGGCCTGATTAAAGGTGTTGTGAAAGAAAGAGTATGTTTTTTTTTTTTAAATTGTAGTAGGATGGTATAACCAACTGATCGTGCAAATCTCGCATTTCGGCTCTGCTTATATTACGACGACCACGTCATCGAAGAATGGACAAAATTTGTTTATTAATTCTGATTTAGTTTGATTTTAAATCTCGTTATATACACATCCAGAGAATCTTTAAGGAAAATTGTTGCGACTGGTTATGTAAACGTACATCTTGACTCTCACTCCAGCTTCCCATCGACCGACCAATGCCACCCACCCCAAACGTTGCATTTCAATCCTTGATCTCGTCGGTGTGCACCAAAAGCTGGGAAAGGGCGTGATGCATGCTCACAAGGTAACACGATGAAAGAAATCCATATCAGGAAGCAAGAAAGCGAACTGTGTTTCCCATATGACATGTAGATTTTGTTATTCAGGCCTTCGCCTGCTCTTCCGGGTGAATAAGTAGATTAAGTGATATCGGGAACAACTTTCGCTACTTCCCTTATCAACTTTTCGTCCATCTACTCATCCTGACGTGGCGGATGGCAAATACGAAATTGAAACTTCGGAAATGCGACACGAAAACGTCCGTTTCCCGCTAAGGACGGGCGGGCGGGCCAGCACACTTCCTGATCCCTAGCCTGAATGTTAATATATACCAATCCCAGGACATAACCTTATATTTCCGATCTGCAAAAAATCCTTCCTTCACTCCTTTACTTACGCGTTAACTTACGATCAAAATGGATGCCGCTTAGAAGACCGAAAATCAAAAGGATCTATCTGCTAGTTCATCAAACAGAAACACTTCAGCTCGAGATACAATCATCAGTTTCCCTTCTACGTGGATGTCCATGGTATCACAATTAATTGATTAATCTTTGAAAACTACTGATATATTCCAGTCTATTCCCGCCTAATACTAGTACATTAAGTTAGTGAGAGTCTGACAATCACAATATCAATTTTTATTTATTCTTTTAAATTAAAATCCATTCAATACAAGGCACGAGAGCCACTCAAAATAGAGGACACTGTTAAAATGTCAATGATTTTCTAAATTCCCCTCAGACAGCGAATTTCTTAACGTTGTTTTACGATGTTAGCTTCGAAAATGTTCCCTCACATTGTAACTGATAGTGAGTAGCCGTGTTTGTTCTTTATTGCATTTTTATTTGATATAGAGGGCCACATCATTAAGGGCCACATCATTAAGGGCCCACTTATCATCGGACAAGCTGACACCTTGGCCAGTCTGCCAGTGAACATGAATGAAAAAGATGGTAGTGGACGTTATGAGGACAAGGCGGAAACCTAACGATTGTTTTTAATTTTCATCGATGAACAAAATTTTATTTTTAATACCGTTCATCCAATAAAAGGCCCAACAGCCTTATTTAGTAACCCTCTGCCCTGAGTGGCTCAGAGCAGAATGTTACTAAATAAGGCTGTTGTAAGGGCGTATGCGGAGGGGGGGGGGCAAGAGAAATATATTATGAGGATAAGTGAAAAGAAGCGATTGTAGTAAGTTGTTGTAATGTCTTTGTTCAAAATACACAAGAATGAGAAAGGCCGTAGTTAGAAAGAAACAGAAGACGAAGCAGGGAAAACAAAGAAGAGGTTTATTAAATACGCATACCTAGAACGAAAAAATACTTAAGTAAATTAACTACTCCTCAAATCCTACTTTAATGTGGCTACTTGCCATATTTGTAAGTAGGAAAAGTCAATTGTCTTAGTAATAAGGAAGAGCAAGAAGCATGCTAAGTCCTACTCTACAACACTTGTACTTTGAATTTCTGGGACACACAATATGGAAAAAGGGCTTTGATACTGACATGACATATTGAAGACAAGGGACTCAGAAGGAAACAGCGAATATCCTACTTAACGAACTGGTGTAGACGGACAGGAACTGGGAAAGATACTAAATTGACAAATATTACTTACAGGTACAAAGAATAGAAAGCTGTGAAGAGTTATGATCGCCCACTCTCTGAAGGGACACGGAACAAAAAGATATTATAGATATGACGTAATAGCATAGTAAGTAAGACTTCGGAAAAGTTCGTTAAAAAAAAAAAAAAAAAAAAAAAATGAAGAATGCGGAACCGTTTTCTGATAACCTATCAACAGTGGGTAATCGGACAAAAACTCAGCCTCTTAAATGGACAAAATCCCAGTCTCGTGAATAAAAGAATCAACCTTAACATTGAAAATTCAAGAAACTTTAATTCAAATTTTAATTTCAAATTGAGACATATACACTTACTCATATGCACAAAAAAGGGGTGCT